TTATGATGTTAAGGATGGAGCTTAAAAATACAGGGAACAAATAGGAGAAACAGGCAGATCCATAATTATAGCAAAGATTTCAACACCACTCTTTCAGTATTTGATAGAACAAGCAGACAGAAAATCATAAGATAATGGCAAACTTGGACAGTATTACCATCCAGCCGCTCTAATAGATATTTTAGAACTCTCCACCCTTAACATAAGAACACGCATTGACTAAGATGAACCACATTCTGGTCCATAAGCAAGTCTCCATAAATTTAAACTACCTCAAGGATTACAAAATATGTTCTCTAACCATAATATAACTAAATTAGAGATTAAAAAAAAAGATATCCCGAAATCTCCAAGTATTTGAAAACTCAATAATACTTCCAAATATTTCATGAGTCAAAAAAGGAATCAAGAGGGATATACAAAAGTATTTTGAAATGATTGAACAAAAATCACAAATACAAAATTTGTGGATGCAGGTAAAGCCATATGTAGAGAGAAATTTATAGAACTAAATACACTTAATAGGCAAGAAGTAAGATTTTAAATTGATGCCATTAGCTTCTTCCTTAAGAAACTGGAAAAAAATATGAATATGTTAAACTCTGTATCTTGCTATTGAATGGAATGGGAGCAGAGAGGGGAAGTACTGTGGTTGTGGGAGTTCAGGTCTGAGCAGTTGGATGGCAGGAGTGCTGAAACAGGGGAGACAGACATCTGAAGAGCCTGGGATGGGTCAGGAGTTTCGGTCCCACGTGCCGAATGTAAGTATCTCTTAGGGATTGTGGTGGTGTAGGAGTTGGGTCCAAGTGTGTTCAGGGCTGAGGCACATCTATAGATGGTGTCACCACAAAGTGGTGTTTATTGAATGGGCTTCCTCTGGCAGACAAGTGTCAATGGGCAAGAAGGGGAGGGCTCCTCCCAGCCCTTATAGGGGAACCAGGCCTTCTTTTCTTTCTCCAATTAAATGAATTTAAAATATATTAAATCCCCAGCAATAAAGAGAAAATGAGCAGTCCTTATTGGTGAGAGAAATCTGCTGATTTGTGGAATATCCTTTTGACTTTTGGGGGTGATTGTGATTACAGGAGTCCAACTGCTGCTTCCCCTTGATTCTCCAACTTGCTCCTGTGTGTTCCCAGGTGGCAGCGGCCTCTGAGGTGGGAACAAGCCTCATTCCAGGCAACTCGCAGGGTTGCCTGGAATGAGCAGATGTCCAGGGACCTGGCAAGACAGCCAGGATGACTCCATGCCTACCAAGAGGCCCATGATCCTGGGGAAGCCACCTACCCCATGCTACTTGCTGGCTGGCTCTACTCGCCAGCTGGCACAAGGTGGATTCTTCAGGGTCAAGGTTACTGAGTCACAGATGACACTTAACGACTACCCTGGACTTCTTTTTGTTCCCACTCCAGTCTGCAGAGAACACTGTGGCATACCCTCTTGACATGTGATGAAGGCGCTGGCCTCTGCAGCAGCTCGCTGGCCTGTGTCTGATGACAGTTGACAGCCTACAGCACTCCTGGCACTCACTGACCTACTTTCACCACCATGGCTGGAAACGTTTACATAACAGATGGCCAGGGGGGCCTGCTGTCCCCCTGACACTGGAGGAGGTGTTTCTAATTAAAAAGGGGGCGGGCGCCCCTGCCTGGCACCACCAGATTCAGTTTAGGGGTTCTGGGAACTCAGTCTTACACATACTGAGTCCAAAGGGCTTGCTGCAGGGCACCTCTGTAGGAAGGAGTGCTTTTATCTGATACCACACCAGTCACTGCAGCTAGAGCCTCCTCTCCTCCCGAGGGTCACATGCACTGCGCTGTTCACCAGAAGTCTCTTGGAGATTTCGGGATATCTTTTTTTTTAATCTCTAATTTAGTTATATTATGGTTAGAGAACATATTTTGTAATCCTTGAGGTAGTTTAAATTTATGGAGACTTGCTTATGGACCAGAATGTGGTTCATCTTAGTCAATGTGTGTTCTTATGTTAAAGGGTCTCTATCTGTGTTCCTCCATTCGCACCCAGGAGCTACACAAGACTGTTTACTTAACACTTAAATGTGGCCAGTGAATCTTTATGTTAACTAGATATAGCCACATATGGCTACTGGCTTCTGTACTAGATAGAGGACATTCATATGGAAGGGTGATTAAAATTTTCTTGCTATGTATTATACCTTCATGTTAAAATCCTTGCTATTTAAATGTTCTGATTATAGTTGGAGTGTATTGAAGTTGTCTGTAAACATATTTTTAAGTGTGAGTGCTTATTAATGCAGAAATAGAATTAGAAACTGTCATTTTGCCCATGCCCGTGACTGCCCTTTGCAGGAATCCCCTACATATCACCCAGAAGATGATATGTACTTTGATTCTGTGCTTTATTTTTATGTTTTCCTAAAAATATTTTTAGCAGAAATATTTTGACAAGAAAAAAAAAACTTTTGCCTCATAAAACCTCTAAGTTTAAAGGAAAAGCTTGCTTTTCTAACCTGTAGGCTCTCCTGCGTGTGGACAAAACCTCTCATCTTTATAAGTTACATCACAGGGCCAATGTCTGGACAGCCTGCAGGTGCATGGTGACACATTCAGGTTTCACTTGTTCTTGAAGGACTTAGGCAGCCATGAAGGCAATGTGACATTGTCATTAGTGAAGGGATAAGTCGGGGGTAATGTGTGAGGAGTTCTTGCAGAACCAGCCCCTGGGTCCTTTCAGAGCTTCCAAAGCCTCATCCTTCATTGTCCCGGCACACTCTGGTATGCACCTGGGCAAGTGGCAGCTCGTGAAGGCCTATGGTACTTTCCTGCAGAATCAGCCCAGAGTTCCTCCTGGCCCTCTAGTGGAAACCCTTGGCCCTGGCCTGTACCATGGTTCACCCAGAATCTTCCCCCAGCCAGTCCTTCCCTTTCTGTGTAACAAAGACACTCTGTTGTCAACTCCCTATGGCCCTCATTCCCTGATCCTTTACCTGCCCACATTCCCCAAGACCAGTAGTGTCCCTTGCTCCTATGGGGGCCAGTCGTGCCCACATTTCCTCTTCTTTCTGCAGGACCCCCGTGACCCTGTGATGTTTCTGTACCCACATGCCCTGTAACATGTGGACCCTGCAATATCCCTATTATATCACCCACACTCTGTCATGTACTTGCGCACCCAAGCAGGTGGCTCTTCATCCTTCTCCCCACCCCAATTTTGCACTGCACAGATAGGGGCCCAAAGAATGCCTGTTAAACCCCCAGAAATGGCTGCACCACCGCCACTCACTTATGAACCTTGCTCTCAGAGTGAAGCAGCTCCTCCCAGCCCTAGAATCAGGATCTGTTGTGCCCCAGCCATGCCCCAGTATCTGGGTTGTGCATGCCTGGTTCTCCTAGACAAAGCATGTCAAACTTGCGACCCCTGGGTCACATGTGGCCCACAGCGAATATTTTTGTGGCCCAATATAACAGAATGTAAGAAATGTTTTCATAAAAGTTTTGTAACTTAATTTTTACAATATCCTGTTATACATAATTATTAATAATGAACTACAACATTCACTAATGACTGATTTTTATAATCGTGTTGCATTCATTTTTCTTACGCACTGGTGCACAATTTCTTTCCACTAATACTAGCAGCGAATATTTTAGCAGCAGATTGCCATGTCATTAGTCTTGTATTGACTTGTTTGGTGTGTGCAACAGGAAATATTTTGCTTTCAGAGATAAAGAAAAATAGGTTTATTTGTGTTACACTTATTAATTTGTGCAGTTATTCAGTGTCTGGTAAGTTAATGTTCAAGAAAAAATACTAATTTTTATTAAAATGTTCCATTATTTTATGCTAACAATTACTTATTTGTTTCAGTCCTTTGTATTCAGCATGTCTCTATCGAAATAAACCTACGTTTCTATGAAAATTGAAGCTTTTTTTTCTGACCCATATAAACTTAAACCTTGTTTATTTGGCCCGTGTTAGCCTTTGAATTTGACATGGTTGGCCTAGACTTCTCCCTGTCTGATCTGAGAGTCCCCTCCCCACTGTTCACTCCAGCCCTCACCTAACCTTGTTTTAAATCCTTGCTGGTGCCTTTCTTGTGAGGCTGCTCCTATGAGGGTGAGTATGACCTATCCTCAGAATCCAGCCCAGACGAGGACCCGATCCTCTGTGAGAAGGGGCTGAAGCCAGGACCCCCATGCATCTTGGTGTGGGGCCTAGGTCACAGTCTTTGTCCTCCATCAATCACCCATTCAGGCCAAGCCCCAAGGGCCTGAGCACCAGCAGACAGTCTTGGGAGCACATTGTGCTTCTACCTCCAATAATCTAGATTTTATTCCTGAAATCACTGTTTGCCTATAATTTATGAAGTAGAGCCTTCACTTTGCCTCATGGGCTAAGCGCTGAGCCAGCTATCTGCAGAAAATATACAGCAAACAGACCAATGATATGAGGGTTTAAAGCATTTTCTGAAAATTTCTAAAAGGGACATTTAGCTATTTGGAAATTTAATTGATATAGACTAAATCTACTTTATAAGTGAGCTTTACCAAGGAATCTCGGTTCTAGATGTCAAGGACACACCACTACCTGAACTTTCCTGACTTTTTAAAGGTGAAGGGTATCTTAGTGGGAAGCTGGGATCCTGGCACCAATATGAAGGAAATGGGCAGAACGAACCTCACAATAGAGGAGGCATCATGAGGGCATCAGGGATTATTGGGGACCCTGCTTCTCCTCCAGCACCTAGGAGAGCTGTTCCTTTGTTAGAGAGGGAAAATGAGGGCAGAGGGTAGTTACTGAGCAGTGGGGCTGGATCTGTTCTTGGAGGAATTTCCTGAGGCCCATCTCCTCACTGCCCTGTACCCCATTCCCCAGCAGGTCATTCCACGATGCTCTGGGAAGCCTTTCCCTGAGCCTCTGCCTCTCACCAGCAGCCTCCTGCTCCTCCAGAGGCCAGAACATCCTCCAGTGCATTGGTGGTTGATGTTCTCAGCAGCAGCTGTGCCTTCTCTTTCCAGGTGACACCATCTGGGCCCCATCTATCCTTCCTCTCGACACCCTTGGCACCTTAAGCTACCACCCCCAGACGCATTTTGGGAGAAAGATGGAGTCCAAGGTCTCAGAAGGTGGCCTGAATGTGACCCTGACAATCCGCCTGTTGATGCATGGAAAGGTAGAGAAGCACAAGCCCTGCCTTTGTCACTCTCCTCAGAAAGAAAGAAGCAGACCAGCTGGGAGGAAGGGAGGTCTTGCCCAGAGCTGGGACTTTTGCTTTGTATTATGCTTTTAAAAATTCTAAGCAATCTCAGACTTACAGAGCAGAAACAGTCCAGTTTAAGTACGCTTCTCCTGGAACCATTTGAAATTAATAAGTTGCTCAGGTGACATCCTATTTTCAAGTACCTTAGTATGTATTTCCTACATCCATGGGCATTCTCCTCCATTATCACCTGCACCATCAAGTCAGGACAGTGATGCTGATCTGTTCTGGCCACCTGGCCACAGACCCCACTCATGATCCTAATCATCCCAGCACTGCTCTTCCTAACAGGGCACTCCAAAGTGTCCTCCCACTTCATGTCCTTGTCATGTCTCCAGTCTCTTTTAACCTGAAGGACTTGCCCTGGTCTTTCTTGTCTTTTCACCTTTGAATGTTTCTGTCCGGTTCTTTTGTAGAATGTCCCTCAAGAACAATGAGTTTTATTTTGAAAAATGTTCTCTGTTGCTAGAAGCGAACTGACCCTGCCTCCATGAGATGCACAGTAGCACCATGTGGGTCTGTTCCAGGTAGAGAGGTATGGGATGAGCAGGCTTGGCTGGGACCATGTGTCCGAACTGTCACAGGCTCCAGGTTTTAGCACCGTGGTGGCGAGTTCAAGGGTGTCTTTGAATGTTCTATCTTTTTAAAAAGTCAAGTAGCAAAGAGAGTGCTTATTTTTCTTTATATCACAAAATCAAGGGAGATTTTATTTTTCATCCATTTCTTGAAGGGTTTCCTTGCTACCTTAAGTGCATAGGTGTGCCTTCCAACTTGTTTAGCTGGAAAGCAGCTGGCCATTCTCCTCTGTTTGGCTGTCTGTCAGTCAGAAGCACCAGTGGTGGTCAAATGGCATAGAGGGATCCTCTAGACATAGGTCCTGCAAGCCTTTTCAGGACCACCTAAATGTCCCTTCTTCATGCATAACATGTCTGTCATATGGAGCCTTTTTCCTTCTGCTATATGACATCAGCTTTTTGTGATTTTTTTTCCTACAGGAAGTTGGAAGCATCATCGGGAAGGTAATTATTAAGTAAACTCTCTGCCTCTGTTGGGGTTTCTGTGCTTGGGGCAGCAAGGGATGAGGATGGGGGTTGTCCCCAGGGTAGCTGCTTCTCCATGCAGTAAGGCTCCCAGGAGAATCCCAAGACTCTCACTCTCAAGCTGAACCGCTATGAAGCTGGTCTGAGAGCAGCCCTACCTCTTGCCACCCTGATAGCCAGACCTTCCTCCCAGGTGTGAGAGCTCAGTAAGAATTCCTTTACTTCCATTCATTACAGTGGTCACCTGCCTCTGTGAGTGGTAGTGAGTCTCTTTGCATTTCCATTCCAAAACCGAAGAAACATTCCTGTGGAAAAGTCAAAACCCATTTGGAGCCTGTACCTGTAGGAGAGGTCAGGATTGAGGCACTGTCCTCCTGGTGGTCCCATTTTGAACACCTCAGGACCCCTGGTTTCCTAAGTGGTTCCTGTTCAGTGGGGCACCTCCAATGCTCAAAGTCCAGCTCTTTCCCCATGTACCTCACGGTGTCTTCCCACTCCCGCATCCAAGGACCTGGTTCTGCTTTGCCTGTGATGAAAATGGGGATGGCTGTGACCTGGTGTATCCCATCTCCACTGCAGGGAGCAGGTGCCCTGGCCAAGTGTGGTGCCCAGTCAGGTCCCTGGGTCTCAGCCCATCTGCTCACAGGGCCTCATGCCCCTGGGTGAGCAGCTGGGTTTCCTCCTATGTGGGCTCATGAGCCAGATGTGCTGAGGGCTCAGTAAATTACATGTCAGGCTCTGGACAGCACCTGTAGGGAACCCTGCTTTCTGAGGATCTGCTGCCCTCTTGCCCCTGGGGCATACTCCTGACACTTCACGTGGCTGCACCAAATTCTATATTTGCCTGTAGTGGACTCCTGAGTGACCTTTCTTCCTGTTGTTTAAATCTTTCTTCCAGAAAGGAGAAACCGTGAAAAAGATGCGTGAAGAGGTAAGTTTGCGTGCATTAGCTGCATCCTGTCTCCAATAGGCTGGACACTACAGCTCAGAGGCCCCTGTCCTCAACATCCACACCCCTGATGTTCCCACAGGAGCTGCCATGGGCACAATATATCCTTACTGGTCACTTGAGTCCTTTCTCTAATTAAAATCTCACTGTAGAGGGAAGTACTGGAGAGAATTTTACTGTTTAGTGTTGAGCTTTGCCCTTCGGGGACTAACTGGATATGTTTGTATCAGTTATTGGAGAAGCCAACTCATTACTGGTCCCACGCCTTTAATCCAGTTTCTGGGATTTGTTCAACTCCCTTCTAGAGTGGTGCCCGTATCAACATCTCGGAAGGAAACTGTCCAGAAAGAATCGTGACCATCACGGGCCCAACTGATGCCATCTTCAAGGCCTTCGCTATGATTGCCTATAAGTTTGAGGAGGTAAGGTACACCCGCTCGAGATAGGCAGTGAACAGGGCTAGACCCAGCTGGTTCTTGGGCATCTGTGTCAGTGAGTCGCAACTTAAAGTTTGTATGTATTTTTATTTTGAAATTGCCTAAAATTATTATTACTTTTAATATATTTCATTGATTTTTACAGAGAAGAAAGGAGAGGGATAGAGAGTTAGAAACATTGAAGAGAGAGAAATATCAATCAGCTGCCTCCTGCATACCTCCTACCGGGGATGTGCCCACAACCAAGATACATGCCCTTGCCTGGAATTGAACCTGGGACCCTTCAGTCCGCAGGCCAATGCTCTATCCACTGAGCCAAACCAGTTAGGGCTGCCTAAAATTATTTAAAGGTATATTTCATGTTTTTTATTCAGAGGGTGATCAAGCTGGAGAATACATTTAGAAAAATGTGTCACACTGTCTGTTCAAACCCCCAGGCTCTACCAGGCCCTAAGGGCAAATATCAGGCCCTGTGTCCAAGCGCACAGCAGCACCATGGCTGTTCTGACACATGACTCTGGGGTCCCCTTTGTCCATCCCACCATCCTCTCCTTGGCCTTCAAGACTCTGTAACCAGCCAGCCTGGCTTCTGTCCCCTCTTTCTGCACACTCAGCCATTTTCCAGGGTGTGTGCTCTTCCATCTAGAAGTGCATGCATCTCTACCCTGTGGATTGGAAGTTGCTCAGGAAAGGGCCTTCACCACTGGTCTCTGCAGCCTTATCCCCCTACCCCCTGGCTTGTCAAGGGCTCTAAGCAGAGCCTTGCTTCCACACTCTTGGTGTTCACACATAGGCTGTTAGTCAATAGTTACACCTTCCTCCATCCCCAGGACATCATCAACTCCATGAGCAACAGCCCTGCCACCAGCAAGCCCCCGGTGACGCTGAGGTTGGTGGTTCCCGCCAGCCAGTGCGGCTCCCTGATTGGCAAAGGCGGTTCCAAGATCAAGGAGATCAGGGAGGTAACAGGACCCTTCCCAGACCGGTGGGTGCTGAGCCACTGGGTGGGTAAGGAGGTATGTGCAGAGGTGCCGGGTACTGTGAAGGAGGGGCATATGCTCCAACAGAATAGACAAGGGACAGCAGATTATAGCATCCCATTCCAGTCACGTGGCTCTGAGGGCTTGTGATCTCTGCCCCAGTTTCTCTGTCACATTTTCATTCATTTCAAGGAAAGCCTAATCCCTCCCAGAAGGAGGGTGGCCTTCTAATCTCAGTCTTTCAAGAACAAGAGGGCACAAATTTTATTTAGGCCCATCTAGAATCCGTTTGTGACCTAAAACTCCACAGAGAAGATAGAATTCCACACATTTGAAAAAAGATGACTCTCTTTCTTCTCCTGCAAATGCTTGTCTGCCAGTTAAATGCCTCCTAGGCAGTGATGCTTGCCATGCACGATCTCTGTGCTGGGCAGCAGTGGGCTGAGATAACTGAGACCAGCTTACAGGGGCTCCTCAAGGGAACATGCAGAGGGCCTGCATGGAGGGGGCAACATGAGGGTAATGTATGGATGGCTCCCCAATGCACTGTGCCTTAGGCACATTCTCGAGAGAATCCAGGAAGTGCTACTTCGGCACTCACTGCCTCCGCCTCCCTCTGTCATGCCCCTTCCAACATCTGGTTTCTCTAGTCCACAGGTGCCCAGGTCCAGGTGGCTGGGGACATGCTGCCCAACTCCACGGAGCGGGCAGTGACCATCTCAGGGACTCCTGATGCCATCATCCAGTGTGTCAAGCAGATCTGTGTGGTCATGCTGGAGGTACAGTTTCTGCATCTGAGCTCATGGCCGGGCCTCCTTCAGTCCAAGCTGGCTGTGGCTACTTAGTGTCGGTGGTGGCAAAGGCTTTGGTTCTTCAGGGGCCCTGAAGGTCAAGGTTGTATGGGGTCCGGGTGTCAGAAATGTGTCCCAGGTCCCTGATTTAGGCCCAAGGCCAAGTGAGTGAAAGCCATGCTGGACACTAAGAGGGGCAGTGCTGGTGCCTGTCCCCTATAGGGTGGGTCTGTCATCTTCACTGGGAAAGCAGAGGAAGACACATGGAGAGGCATGTGCCCCTCACTTTATTTCTGGAACTGGATGAAAGGTTATTAGTCCATGTGAGGGTCCTTTAATAAAGGATTGGGCCTTAAAAACAGTACAAATCTGCAATGGAGACAGGTCCGCTCTGGATACAAGTTTGCACTGGAAAGGGATCTGGGTCTACACTGGAGACTGGACTGTGCTGGAGATGAGAACTGGAGGTGGAAAGGCTGCTTGCTGCGGACAAAACTCCTCCTGCTGAGCTAGCTGAAGTTATCTGAGCCCCCACAAAGGGCAGGACTTAGGAAAAGCACATAAAAATGCCCAAATTGTAAAGACAGAATAGTGTACAAAGGAATTAAAGCCAGAGTTGAGAAGCAAAGGTGGTACAACCTCTTTGAAATTTTTGGGAAAAACCCTGAAATTTAAATTTCAGCTAATACAAAAATGTAAGAGTCATTGAAGCAATCAATAGTTCTCTTTCTTTAAGCTAAAATGAAGTCATCCTGCCTCAAATGAAAGGTTCCAACAGTTGTGCTGGTGGCCAGGCTGCCTAGCCCCTGCTCATGGTCCCTGGGCCTAAGGATCTGCTAGAGTGACTACCTCAGCAATCTCCCATGGGAAATGAAGCCTTGCTGACCGCTGTGGGCTTACCTCTCTTTTGTACTTGGCTTGATGTTAAAACCCATGTCCAACTCTAAAAGAAATTGTATAGTTTTTTCTTAAAGTACGATATTTTATGAAATCAAAATATTTTTCTAAATGTTGTTTTGAAGTATCCACAACCATTGGTCATAGTGACAGTTGGTGCTGGCCATGTCCTTTTTAATGTCTGGCTAGTGGGACCCCAGAGGGCCATATGGATAGTGACAACTGGCCTGGGACTCTGAGTGCTAACAGATGACCATTTGTTTAGCAGCACTGGGCACCTCAGGATGGCAGAGTGATATGAACAGTTTCAGTATTGACAGCCACCCACATACCTGATCAAGGGTCAGAACAGAACTGTGGTGTCCTCAGAAATCCTCCCAAGTGGCATTGCTTGTGCCACATTCATGGTCAGACAGCCCCCAGAAGCAGGTTTGACCCTCGTTGACTGTGGGGTGCTGGCACCCCCAAAGCCATGGCTGGAACTGCCCTGTCTCTTTCCTGATGACTGGAAGCTTATGTGAATGGTGAAGCGCACGTGGCAAAATGAATGATAAACATTGGGTGGAGGTAATGCCTTGTTCTTGTCGGTGTCATGAAGCTCTCAGAGATTGGGACCAGCCCTCCTACCTGGGGAAGAAGATTCATTGCTGAAGAGTAACTGGACAAATAGAGCAGAGGACCAGAGGATTTCTAGGCATGGCTACGGCGTAGGCCTCCACCCTTGAAATTACCACTGGGATCCTGGGTGCGAGCAAGTTGGGTGGCACCCTGTGGAGAAGGACACACAGCTGCATTTTTCCCAGCGGGAGCAGGACAGGGGGCTGTACTCAGCCTCTTCTCCATCAGTGGAAGTTGGTAATGAGGAATCCCAATCCAGAATCGGCAAGATGGCCTGGAAGAGCTTACAGTATCAGGATTGCAGATGCTGCCATTGATGGGGTCAGAGGGCACCACCATGCAGCAGGGATGATGGGCCAAGCAATGGCATGAGTAGCATGATGCCCAGCTCAGGGATGGGAGCAGCAGCCAGACTGAGTCTTCTGCTTGAAGCAGTGAGAACAGTCACTCCTTCACTCTTGGTTTCATCATGTTTCTTCTACAGTGAGTCCTGAGACCACAATGAACCTGAGTTTGCACAGATACATTTTGGGAGGCTCAGTCATAACTACCAAAATACTGAATCCTGAACACCAGCTGGCGTCAGCTCACAGGTCTTCCCAACACCCCTTCCACTTACAACTGGACCAAAGTTGAACAGCACAGCCAAGCTCACACAATCTGTTCAGGGTCTCATAATGTGGCCTGGGCTGCATAGTTGAAGCTGTGCGTTTTGGGGTGAAGGCACTCGGATATCACGCTCTACTAGCCAGGTTGTGGGCTGGGCCTGTATGGGCCATGGCCTCCAAAACCCCAAGCAGGAACTGGCTTCCCTGTCCCACTCCCCTTGCAGGTGGTGGTGCCACTGACTCTGGGACTCCTGACTCAGTCACCAGGCCTGGTCTATGGCCTCTGCAACCAGGGAAGACTATCCACCAGAGGGACAAGGAGGGCCTGATTGCCTCTGACCAAGGTTTTAGGTCGACTTTATTGGAATCTGGCAGAATATCATTCACCAGAAGAAAAGAATCCTATATTTTTGGACACAGAATAATCTAAGGCAGTGGTCGGCAAACTCATTAGTCAACAGAGCCAAATATCAACAGTACCATGATTTAGATTTCTTTTGAAAGCCAAATTTTTTAAACTTAAACTTCTTCTAATGCCACTTCTTCAAAATAGACTGGCCCAGATCATAGCATTTTGTGGAAGAGCCACACTCAAGGGGCCAAAGAGCTGATGGGCTCGAGAGCCGCAATTTATCCACCAAAGATCTAAGGAAATTATAGCAAACCTCATCATGACTGTGGAATATTTCCTTTGGACTTGACCCTTTTACAAAAATGGCTTTCACTCTGTAAAGTATATGATTGTCTAACCACTATGTTGTACACCTGAAACTAATACAGAATAATAATAAATATGAACTATAATTGAAAAGAAAAAAAAGTATGGGGGAAAAAGGAACAGGGGAGGTCACAAAGAACTAAAAAGAAAAATTGCTTTTTTAAAAAATAATGAAATTGGATGTTTCTAACTTTGCTATGATGTCAACTGGACATCACCACAGGTCAAGCAAGGCCTTTAGGGCACTGGGCCTGAAGGGACCATGGTCAAGCTATGCACAGCCCAGCTTATTTGGGAGGATCCAAAGGAAAGGGAGAGTTTTTTTCTCTCAGGACAACCCAGACTAACACACATGTGGAGCAACAGCGTCCAGGCCTAGAGGCAGCTGTCTGTTCACCTGAACATCGTTGGGGGGTCCCGCAAGCAAGGGCAGGGTCACATCTTTCCGTCTTAGCCCATTCTCAGACCCATACTCCTCACTGTCCTGCTGGGCGATTGGTGCTCATGTGGGGTGATTGGCACCATGTGGGGTGCTTAAGACGCTGGTTAAGAGGAGGAGGGAAGTGACCTCCTAGAGGAAACTGGGTTGGTGAGGGCAAGATTTCAAGCAGGTGCCCTCCCATTCTGGGGCATCACCCCACCTCTCTGGCACTGCAAGCCTGGGGCACTGGGACATGTTGAGGTACAGTGTTGGGCGGGCTCGGGAAGGAGGTCTCCCCACCCTCATGACTGCCACATGTGAGACTGTCTAACGATCTCTCTTCCTCTCCTGTCCCTTTTCCTAGTCCCCACCGAAAGGTGCCACCATTCCCTACCGCCCAAAGCCCGCCTCCACCCCTGTCATTTTTGCAGGTGGTCAGGTAAGAGCCGACCCGCTCGCGGCCTCCACTGCCAACCTCAGCCTTTTACTGCAGCCCCCGCCGCTGCCCGTTAGTGCACTCAGGTTTTCTCCCTTCTCACGTGCACGTCTCCTGCCCCCTGGGCCCTGGATGCAGAGCTCTCCCGGCCCACTGCCAGGCACCAGCAGAGAGCAGTGTGATGGATGTGGACTGCCATGTGAGAAAGACTGGGCAGTGTCCAGCAGACAGGAAGGGCCAAGGAGGATGCCCTGTGGAGTCTGGACCCCAGAAACATCTCCCTGACTGGGCTGCGCCTGCTCAAATCTAGCTCTCACGTGTTTTTAAGCGAAGCTATGAGGGCCAGGAGCGTTACAGGTGACTTTTATGACTCCTGGCTTAGATAAGTAAGACTGTAAGAGCTAGGATACTATATTCCCCTGAAACACACATTTCCAATTTTCCACAGATGAATTCCTAGGAGCACATGAGAGAAGAGTCATGCCTCTAAGGAACGGAAAGCTGCCCAGTCAGATGGGAGCCTTCTGATCACAGCAGGCCGTGAACGTCTGCTTTACACACCTGTTGTCCGGCCACTGTCCTCCTTGCTGTCCTACCAAGAAGGGCTTAGAAGGCCAGGGGTGACACATAAATTTGATGTAGGACCAGCAGTTAACTTAGTAGACCTAGAGAGAGCTGAAGAGATGGAGCTGTGCCCAGAGATGTCTGAGCCGGAGCTTTGTCTCCTCACCTCAGGGTTGTTTGGCTCCAGGAGATGGATGGACTTTGAAAATGCCCAGCCAGTGGTGCCTGGAGGAGCTCTGTGTCCAGTCAGCAGTGATGTGTGTCTTTGTTCGAGGGAGAGTTAAGACAGACTTACCACAGGGGATCTAGGTCAGGGGAGCATGGCCATGATGTTCTACACTCTTAAAAAAGAAAGAGGCTAACAATAGCCTTCTCCATTTCTCTTTACTATGTAAAGGAATCTTATCTGATCTTCAGCATTGACTCACATGTTAGGTGAAGGACAGGGCATGGTTTTTACATTTTTTAAATAGCCTCTGAGTGATGCAGCTACTCTCACTTATTTCCCAGCATCCCCATCCAGATACTGTCCTCCCACCCCCAATGTCCATATTGGTGGCATCTCTTATCCGCCGCCTGACTCACATTGTCTCCAAATGTCCATGGCTTTTGCCAGGAACCTGCACACTCATCTATCCTCCTACTACAGCCCCAGGTTGGAAAGGGGGGCCTTGAGGCAGGGACCTAAGGACCCAAGGCTATGCCCCTCTTCTGACCAACCTTAACTTGGTGATGGGGAGTCACAATCGACCTTGTTCAAAAGTCTGCTTTCTTTCCCCCGATAGTTGTGGTAAGTTAGCAGGTTAGTTACCTGTGTGGTCTTGATGCTAAAGTAGGAACAAACCCATGATCACCCATCGGTGAAATGTGGGACTTTATTCAAAAGGAAGGCACATTAATATTAACAGGGGCCCAGGAAGACCTGGCTGGGTGGACTGTGGTCAGCACCTTGCCACCCATCTCATCTTCTTACCTGTAAAACAACGGCAGCAGGCCCACCTCTCAGTCACCGCCATCATCAGCATCTGTCCCGAGGCTATCACCAGGCGGTCCATCTTAACTGTGCCCTTGGGACAGTCTGGTCCAGCCAGTGGCCAGTCCTGATCATCTGTTGGGAAGGGGCAAGGCCACATGAGAGTCATCACTATACTGCAGGTAATGAGGCAGAGGTGCCACAGTACAGACTCAGAAATGAAGGTATAAATGAGACCTAACGCAACAAGGGTCCCCTCCAAATTCAGACCCTATACTGTCCCTGGGCTTTAGAGACGTGTGGCCTGAGAATCACCCTAAATTATCTGTGTGAAGATACACCTACCTCCCTGCAGGTAGCCTGCCTGTGGTGATGACACGTCCCTGGAGGTCTTGGGGGGGGGGGGGGGATGGCAGTACAGCTTGTCCAGTAGGTGCTCCACTACAGAGAGGTAGTTCCCACTTCCCCAGCTTGTGACAGATGACACAGGTTTCATCTCGACCGAACATTTGATCTGTCTACCTCTACCTCTCTCCAGAGAGAGTAGTCAGCTGCATAAACAGTTTAAGCATAACTGAAGACCACAGCCACCCAAGTGAAAGGAAACTGAGTCAGAAACTTAAGATGTCAGGGCAAAGACCTGCCCTCTCGGAACGCATGTGCAGTTCCACTTAGACATGCAGGGATAGAGTGCAGCAAGTCAAGCCTGTCACCCTGCCTGCACTGTGGGAGCAGTGTGTCCCACGTCAGTGTATGTTTGGTGACACACTGGACCATGGCCTGATGGCACCTCCAAAAACCTTGCAAGTGAGGTGTGGATACAGTTCCTGTGGACTCAGCACAGCACAGGCAGCACCCCACTGCCTTTCCCCAGGACACTTGCTCTATCTGATAAGATTCCTTTACTTTCCATGAAGTGCCAGACCAGGGCCTCTCCTCCTGTGGTCCCTGTCCAATGGCTGGCTGGTCTTTAATTCACAGCCTTGCTGTTTATGATGAAAACTCAGCAGATGCAAAACAAAACAAAAAACCATTTGGCAGAACCTTGGAAACCACCCTTAGCTGGGGGTCCATGGAAGTGACTCTTGGATGGGCTTAAGGTTTCCCTCTTAGATTCACAGAGACCCATATGAGTGGGCATCAGATGTGCATGTAGGACATGACATGGGGGTCCCACTTGGCCAGGTGCTAGAAGCCATGTCCCTCCACACCTGAGCCACCCCATGACTGTAAAGTGTGGTTGGCCTGGGGCTGGTATGCACATTCCATGTCACCGAGGCGTAGTCTTTGGTCTTTACTCTCCCTTGACTCTGTGTGATTTGTTTTTTGACCATGAGTTTCTGGAAGCATCTTCGTTGATAGACTGTTGAGGCAGGCGGGGTGGGTGGCGTCTCTGTTTGTCGGGGGCGGGGTGTGGGGGTTGTGTAGGGAACATGTGGGAGAGGCTTCAGGGCCTCACACTCACTGTGGCTGGTCCAGTCACTGTCATGAAGGCTAGTGAAACTGAAACCAAATGAGGCCTTGGGACCCATCCTGGTCCCCCTGGAGCTATGGCATGGGTGTGCTGCCTCTCAAGTCAGAATAGCCAGCCTGTCCTCAGAGTTAGAAGACGAACTGGCTAATCTCTGAATGATCTGGGTACATTTCTTACTTAATCTGGCTTTTGCAAAATTGGTTTTGAGTCACCTCTTAAAGGTTTCTTTTTTTGTTTGTTTTTCTTGGCATAAATATTTCCTAAAAATGTGTACTCATGATTGGTTAATTATTTAAAAGGTTAATGATTAGTAAACTATAACAGGGGTCAGATCATTCTTAGTTTTTTTCTTTTTAAGAAACTGGGGGTACGGGAGTTAGAAGCATTGAGGGAAAAGCCATTTCCCTCTCTCCCCAATGACTTGACTTCCTGTAGGCCTCTAGGAAGTGGGGTGCAACTCCCTGGCTTGAGTGTGATTGTAGCTACAGCCAGCAGGGGGCGCTGTCGAGGCTTGACTCCAGTTCACTTCCCTTTGTCCTACAGGATTGGGGCAGGTGGCTTGGGCCGGTTCAATGAAAGTCTCACCCAGGAGAAAGTCTGTTCTGCAGGGGAGGGTCGCAACTTCCAGAGCTGACAGTGTTTCTCTCTCTAGGCCTACACGATCCAGGGACAGTACGCCATCCCGCACCCAGATGTGAGTTTTTACTTTGTTTGCCTTTCCTTCTTTTCTTGTTACCATTTACCACCTGCATGTTGCTGTGAACTGCTACAATATTAATATTACTCAATAATATTAATACCGTTCTCTCAGTGTTCCTGACCTCTGTCGTATCCAAATGACCTTGAATAACCTTTAACCTCTTAGCACTAATTCTATTCATGTGGAGGACTTGGCCTGATGTCAAATTGTTTTAGTTGTTGCTGCAGTGGGGGCTTTTTTTCCACACATGGGACGGGTGGTAACTGCCTTGAAACTGGCGCCCTTCCGGGGGTAGCATTGTCTTACAAGCATCTAAGAAGTGAGATGACGGTGTTGTCAAACAAGTCTGAGATGTGTCAGAAAAGGGTATTTGAACACCCAGGGAAGCTACACTCTCCCATTTCAAAGCCCTAGTTGAAACAGGGTCCTCACGTGTATGAAGGCCAATGGTGACAGGCCTTGGTTTCATTCTAGAGTTGGTAACATCAGTGCTGGAGAACAGTGACAATCCTAATTCACTTCAGGAAGAAGCATCCTAAACTCCTGTGGCCTAGAGGCCAAGGGGATGCATGCAACTCTCAAGGCCAAGATATGGGGCAGCAATGGAGAGCACAAGGGCTTTCTTCCTTGGGTTTAGCTATAGTGGATAAACAGGGAGACACTAGCTGTGCCAGGAAAAATGGGAGGCGGGGGCAGGGAGAGAGGAAAGAAAAAAGAAATAAGAGGCTAAGGTCAGCTGTTGGTTTTGCTGCTTTTGGCAGGTGGAGCAAACCTGCAGCCAATTTTGAGAAGCCTTTTTCTTCTCTATACCGTCCTGCACATTTGCCGAGCTTCAAATCCTCCGACTCTGTTCCTGACAGGGAGGGTCTCCAGGCAGGCGAGCCTGCATGGGGTTTTCTTCAAACCCTTACACTTTGAGTTGTACAGGCGAGGGAGGGTCATCTGAATAAGATGCAAAGGCAGGGCAGGAGAGAGTTTTTTAAGAAGTAAGTAACAATAAGCATTGGAAATACAGAGATCAGTTCATTATCATTGAAAGAAATTTCCTATTAAGTAGAAAAGAAAGACTGATGGTTTTTTTCTCTTTTAAAAAACACCTTATTAATCAGCGCACATTGGAATTAAATGATAGGGGATGCGGTGAAGAGAAGTCCCTCCCCACTCATGACACCCCCATGGCTATTTTTAAAGGTTCCTGGTTTTAACCCTGCGGTGAGGACAGTATAACTCTAAATCAGTGATGGACATACATGCCTGCCCCCACTGAGAAGCCATCTTCCTCCTGCCCAGATGTGCTGTTAGGGCCCCACTTGTGAAGTAGAAACTTGGCAGAGGGAAGCGGGGCACAGCTCTGTCTCACTCCAGTCCCCCCACCTGCCTGCTCGAGACCACTGCTGTAGCTGCCTGTGGCCACCTCAGCCTCCTCCTTGAGGACATGTGCTGATACCTGGCCCTGCCATTGGTATCCCCACCTACCACATTCTCTGTTATTTGGGATGCTCTTCACCTTTCTATGAATTTATTTTAATTAGATCTCATGGTGGGTGGAGGGTGAAGGTGTGAACCTTCTCAGTCTTCTCCAAAGAACCATCAGCAACTTAAAAAAAAAAAAAAATGATGTCTCATACTCCCATGCATTGCCTGTGAAAATGAGAGCGGGCATCTGTGAGACCCCAACAGCTGGTTGGAGCCACTTTTAGCCCAGGAACCTTTCTGATGCTGGTGATGCCTGCCTGCATTGTGTTTGCTCACAGCCCATGGGACTAAGGGAAGCATATGTTAGCACCTAGGGGCAGGCTGGCCCGGCCGCATGTGCAGGAGTGCCATGCAGGGAGAAGGGTTGTGTGTGAGCCTACGTGGAGTCAGTGGCACTGCTATGGGCAGGTCCCACAGCCTCTAATGGAATGCTCCTAGTGGAGGGGTCGGGATATCAGAATGGATCCAAGAAGCCCGGTTTCTAGGATGGCACAGCCTTCATGTAACCTGGGGCAAGGCAGCCTTGTGCCCTTAGAAATTCGAATGTGTACAGCAGCAGGCATGAAGACCTGGCTCTTTGACCTTTTTGCAGCTAGAAAACTCAACAGTGGTCTGGCCTTTAGTGAAGGGCACCAAGTCGATGCTCAGACCCACAAGCCCACTGTGGTCTCACAACTGCTGCCTCTGGGCTCAGGCTCTGAGCCGACAGAGAAGCATTTCTGGTCTGAAATGTCCACTTGTGAGCATAAACACCTGTGTGAGGTTGAGGGATTTTGATTGGTTTGGTTGACTGATTTTTATATCAGTTGTTTTGCTGTTTCCATGTGATTTTCTGATTTTCTCAGTTTCTCTCAAAAGTGGGGAGTTTAACAGGTTGGTTTATTTATTTTTGTTTTGTTTTTTTATTTTTTCAGATTAGCTTAAACTGTTTGGTTGAAACGTGGAATAGGTAGCTTTCTGTGCAGGACATTCTGCTCTCTGAACCAGCAGTGGGATGGGGAGCAGCTATTGGGAGCAGACTAGGAGGAGCTTTTATACTAGTAAATGTTTTTCTTGCAGGCACAGAATGTTGAAGACTTGGACAATCACTTATAATCCAACCAAAACAAAAATAAAATTACTGTGATAGCTAGGAAGGCATTTTTAATTTGAGCTTATTATTCAGTAGTAATCTTAAAAGTTTCATTTCTTTAGAACCCAAATATAATAATTACAGGAAATGCTAATTTATTTTATAATATAACTGAAGGCACATTTAAATATTTCAACCATAGTGGCTGACACATACATTATAGTCATCTTTTAGTATCTTAATATCTTACCTGAATCAGACATATAGAACTAAATTATACATATTTTTTCTGTGCCCAATTTTAAAGAAGACTTTCTGATTTACCCTAAGAGTCATCAAATACCTCCCACCTATCTTGCCACCAGTTTCCTTCCAGGTTCTCTCATCTTTTCACCAGAATCTTTCTGCAAACTTATTGCTCTTATACATTCTGGAGAGGCACAGAGACTGCTGGATGTCGGGAGGACTACAGCTGCTGACCACTAGACTGCTAGGACAGCTGCTCACTAATCCCAGATGCTGTCCACCCCCTTCCAGCGAGGATTCCAGATGCAGAGAACTTGGAAGCCTGGACTGACAGTGCAGTGACTGTCCCATTCTGTCTCTCGTCCTATATTTTAGCACTTTAATATGATTACACCAGAAATTGTTTTCTTCTGAAAGCAGTTAAGTTGAAATCAATGATTAAAAGATGACTTTTAAAAAACTTGTCTTTATGGGATAAATGGAGACATACCATGTTCATGGATAGGAATACTAAGTATCTTAATTATGTTGAGGTACAAAAACGCAGTACAATTGCAATCAGAATCTTGACCGGTTGTTTTAAATATTTATATGAAAGCACAAAGGCCAAGAATCACCAGTATATTCATGAAGAGGAGGGAGGTTTATGATAGGGAGGTTTGTTCTAGTGATAGGAAGACCTATAATAGGGTGGTCCTAACTGAGACAGTGTGGTTTGGTTGAAAGGATAGACCATAGGCAAGTGGATCCGACCAGAGAGTCTGATCTGACCTGTGTGGGTGAGGGAGCCTGGTCTGTGACAGATGCCAGGATGGATTTTTACAGCTTAAACTAAACACCACTCCTTATGTATGAACTACTTCAACACAAGAGATAAATGTAGCACTTTTAGAAAAAAATGTAGTCGAATATCTTTCTGTATACAGCTCAGGGAAGGATTTCTTAAAATATAAACATATGCTATAAAGAAAATATTAATTTAACCACACTAAATTTAAAAATTCTGTTTCTCTAAAGACACCATAAAGTGAGTGGAGAAGAGTTCTTTTCAGCAGATATAACTAAAATAGGATTAATGTTTGAAATACATATGGAGTTCTTGTGAATCACCAAAATCAACCCAATAGAAAAATGGGCAAAAGACACAAGCAAGCATTTTTATAGAAAGGAGACATAAGTACATATCCTGCTGCCAAAGGGGTGCAATTCCTGCTAAGAAAGGTAGTTGTATGGTGTGTTTTGTGATAACTCTTGAGTTGTTTATTTATGGATACTTACATTTTAGTAATTGTCTGTGTTTAGTATTTGTCTTCTGACATAACGTTTAGTGGAAACATCAAGCCACAATGATAGATCTGTAATATGGTACTTCCTTCCACTGTTCCTTTCCTCTCCCCTCTTTTTCCCCTCTTCATCATTTATAGGCACTGGTGGGAACTAGAAGTCTGATTTTTTTTTATATGACAGAAATATCTCTCAAAGTGGGAATTCCCCTTAGCACTTTGTCCTGCTCCCTCCTTTAAAAAAAAAAAAAAATGTAGAAATTAACTCCCAAAGAGGTGAAGTACTTGACTAAGGGCAGAGCCTAGTGGAGAGATTCCAGCTGACATCTGTCCATTATCCCCTCACCAGGAGTGTTTATCTAGGCACCACAGTGGGTGCTGGTTCAGCACTCAGAGTGTCACTTTTCACTCGTGCGTGAGTGGGAGGGGACTTTTTTGCTGGTGTGGCCCTTGCTTCATAACAGCAAGTACATTACTAGGGGAATTGCTAAACTCAGGATGTCAGAGTTCTGGGTGCTAGTGGAGCTGTGCCTGTAACACACATGGTGGCTTTGGAGCAGAGCCTGCTTGATGTACTTCCAACTGCCGGGCAGGCAATAGAGAGACCTGGGGGCCTCCAAGGGCGGAGCTTGTGGACAGTGAGTGGGAAAACTCCTGGTAGTTTCCATGACTCTGCCCCAATTAACCTGGACAGCACTTCACAGCCTGCCATTTACATGCATGGGTTCCCCCACCTTATGGAAAGGGTGGCCCATGGACACCAGCTGGGCCTGCCTCCACAGAGCTGTCAGGGTTGTAGCCAACTCAGGCATGTTCTCCTGCCTTCAGAACCCCATTCTTTCCACTGACCAATGCACAGCTGTGCATTCTGGGGATGCAGGGACATAGGAGAGGGCCTATCCTCATGGGAGCATGCCAGCCTGGCCATGAGCACATGAGCAGGTGACAGGGGTAAAGTAGGAGAACAGGAGCAAAGAGCAGTCTATCATGGCTTTTTAGGCTCCTTGCTAGCCTCCTCCCCCCCTACCCCCTAGGAAAGGACGAGCCCCCAAGGGGCTGGTCACACACCAGCCCACTACCCATGTGCATTGTGTCTGCATGGAAATCCCAGTCCTGGTCAGAGCCAGCATGCCCGGTCCTTGATGACTGCCTGCCCTGAGACAGACTGAGCTGGCCTTTGCTCTCCAATTTCACATTTGTTGTCTCCAGAAATGGGGTTTTCTTAGCACCCTGGGAACTTGTAGTTACCTCCTTGTGAGGAAGCCTTAGGCCTAGTGTGAAGTCTTCCTGAGCACAGCCCCCTCCAAATGTCCCTGTGATTCCATGTGACCTGCTGTACACAGGGCACAACTGCACTGCCCCAGGTCCATCAAGTGGGAGTGGGGTTTGCAGGATCACGCCGGTACAGTTAAGTCTTCAGGAGGCCGAGAGTGGTTTCGTGCACTCCTTAGCCTTCACATCCCAGGATGCCTTTGGGTGTTTGCTGTCTTCCTATAAGGTACTTTCATGTCTCTGGAAAGAGGAGCCTTTACTAGGCTGCCCAGCTGTGCAACAGACTCTCAGGCCCCTTTCCTGCAGGGTCCCTTGGCCTCTTAGCATCTTGCCTGAGGCACATGGGTTGCAGCCAAGTCTCATCACTTGTTCTGTGATAATGTCTCACGGGCATGCTCTCCTGGCACCTTTCTCAGGGGCTTTGGTGTCTATCCATTCAGGCACTCTGTGCCTAGTGAAATTAGATCACGGGGCATATGCGCAAGGCAGTAGGTAACCATCAGACCCAGCCCCTGCTTGGCCTTGACCAGCACCACTCCATCGATGGCGAACTCTTAAAACTGAATCTGATCCCAGGTCACCAGATCCTCTAACCTTCTCTCCTCAGGACCAATAACTGTGCTTGGGGTGGCCTCTTAGGATCTGGAATGTGGCCAGTTGTTCCTGAACAAGCCCACCCAAGTGCTGCAGGTCAGGGAGCACCCTAGAAGACAGGGAGACATGTGAGACTGGTACAGGGCTGCTTTCTAGATGCACTTAGAATGTCTGGGAGGGAGGAAATTGGACAGCTCCATAATGTTAATGCTGCAGGAGCAGCCTAGGAAGACAGACCACTTGCATCCCAATGGCTCACAGGGCCAGGAATCTCCCTCAAAGGTGTGACCAGGTGGCCACATGCTGATTGTGGCCCAGCTTCAGGCTATAGCTGAGGACCACACTCCTCTTCACACCAGGACCCTGACCTTTGGAAGCAGTAGGTGGCCAGTTGACAGCCCAGTCCACCCTGTCCCTACAAGCTGCCCCACAGGGCTCAAGGACAAGGATGGAACAGGAAGCTCTGGGGTAGGCATCATCTGGGGCCAGCGATGATTCTCCATGCACTGGGAAGGGGCACTTGGCGTTTATCTTAGTGCTAGTTAAGCTGTTAGAAGAGCATGCCTGGCTCAGAGGGCCAGCAGCAAAACCACTAGTCCATGGCCCCAAGGTCTGGTCTGTGTAGGGCTGGGATATCAGAAACCCAAGTGCAGTCCTCACCGATTTGGTTCATTGGATAGAGCTGATAGAGCATCGGCCTGTGGACTCAAGGGTCCCAGGTTCGATTCCGGTCAAGGGCATGTACCTTGGTTGCGGACACATCCTCAGTAGACGGGTGTGTAGGAGGCAACTGAATGATGTTTCTCTCTCATTGATGTTTCTAACTTTCTATCCCTATCCCTTTCTCTCTGTAAAAAAATCAATTTAAAAAAAATTATATATATATATATATATATATTTTATAAAGAAGAAACCTAAGTGCACAGTCTCTGTTTTCCTGAGACATTTTTGAGGAGCTGCAGGATTTCAGATCCTACAACATGAGACAAATATGGGCTCACGTCAGATCTTCATGTCACCTGGGAACACCAGCTCTGCTCCCTGAAGGCCCCCACCTCCTGGCCTCTGAGGGACTTCCATAGGCCCCTGTTCTTCCTCTTGATGATGCCAGGGTCAGCTCTTGAAGCTGCGCTTGGAGCATTTGGGCTGGTCTTCCTGCTGGGAAAAGGCTGGGTTTGAGGACAGTTCCTAGAATGTATTAACCCACCCTCTAAGGCTGCTGGAGGCCTGGGTTTTATGTCCCAGTCAGGCATGAGAGTGTCCGACCCCAACATCTTCGAAGTGGGGAGAGGATGCAGCCACCACTTTTGGCTCCCATGTGGGGCCAAGTCTCATCACATTTATCTTTATCTTTTTTTGTTTACTTTTCACTTTAAAAAAATGAGACTCAGATAAAATAACTAAATTGCATTTCAAAGCCCCTTCCCCCATATTCTAGTGTCTGAAGATGGGGAACAGGTAGCCGCCTGCTCAGACATAGTGGGTGCATGGACAGGGAGGCCTCTGGGTGCTCTCCCGCACACCCTCCACAGAACCTTCCAGTACTACATCCTATAATCTTAGAGTATGAGGCAGGGCTGGGCCAGGGCAGGTTTGCAGAAGGGAGCGTCACATGGGTTCCCTACAGATGCACATGAGTTCCAAGTGACAGCATGACTGAAAACTTTAAGAGGTCCAACTGGTCCTGTTTGGTGGTTCTCAGACCTTCCCTTTGAAACCCAGGCGCCCAGCAGCCTCCAGACTGGACTGGGGTCGCTCTTTCACCCAGGCCCATGTGATTGGAATAGTCTTGCTGGTTCAGACCAGAGCTACCAGGGAGCCAAGGAGAGGAAAGGAGCTCAATGCTCCTCCCTGCAACAGTCCATTGGTTTTCCCAGGCCAAGTCCTTGAGTTCCACTGCGTCCGCCATGTGTCCGCATGGCCTCTCTTTGTATCTATTTGTAGAGTTCTGTTACTGCCTTTTTAATTTGGTGTGACTTGTACTCGATGACAATAACCTTCTTAGCTCTCATGTCCCTCCTACCCCCAGCAGTTGACCAAGCTCCACCAGTTGGCCATGCAGCAAACCCCCTTTCCTCCCCTCGGACAGACCAACCCCGCTTTCCCCGGTACGTACCCAGCTGCCCTTTCTGACCTCCTCTTTTCACCTGGGGACTTTCTCTTTCTGAACTGACTTTATTCAGGGCAGCGACAGAGCAGGTACAGCTCTAGTTGTGAATGCCAAGGATGTGTTAACACGCTGCAGTGTGCACGTTGCTGAGGGCCAGGCGGGAGACCTGTGTGTCTCCCAAGGTGAGTTAGTCACCTCACAGCTGGCCGTCTTGTGAAGGGACATCGGCCCCCTCCAGGATATGGACCTATTCTGCGCTGCCCACAGGCATCGTGAGGGCCCTTTCTGCTGATGCACCCATCGGGCCAGCCCTGGAGCCTGTCTCTCCAGGAGTGGAGGCTCAAACAAGCATATAGGGATGTTCTTCTGCAGGTCAGTGCACGTCCCAGGACTGGCACCCACCCAGGGCGACACTGTCCTGCTGGGATAAGCCTGTCCCCAGCCCAGGGCACAGTGGTCCTCAGCTCCCCTCTGGGCACAGGAGCAGGGATAGATTCCTTCTGATGACACACTGAGCATTGGCTTGGCAGCTGTGGCTGGTGATAGTCCACCAGGCATGCTGGTCTGCCACGCACCAGTCAGATTTTGAGCTTCCCTAGTTGAAGTGACCTTGCTTATCTCCTTGAGGGCAAAATATTAAAATCTGTTTCTTCTTTGCTCTCCAGGAGAAAAGCTGCCTTTACACTCCTCCGAAGAAGCTCAAAATCTGATGGGCCCGTCGTCAGGTAAAACAAAGCACTCTAGTGGACAGTGGAGGCCTGGGCATGACCGGGGGGGAGGGGGGGGGAGCAGCCAGCTCCTCGGCAAAGGGAGGCCCATGCCATGGAACCAGAGCCCACACCAGAGTCACAACTGCAGTTCCCAGCCTTTGTCTGGGACACTGTTGTGCTGGGTCATGGGCTCCAGAGCCCCGAACATGGCAGAGTCATCATCACTGTTGTCATTTCTCTTCCTAGTGGGGGCCTGCAGTGCAGACTTTACTATGATGTGTGCCTTCCCCAAAGGTATTTCCTGGGAGGCCGGAGGACACTCTCATGGATAAGAGCACTCTGGGCACCCCTTCTGAATCTAATTAAAACTGTGCTGTGACACCACAGGGCAAGACAGAGATTATACACCCCATTACCCAGTGCAAGGAGCAGTGTGGTCACTGGAAGCCTGTGGCCTGCCATAGTGGGTTTCCTATGAGGGGGTCGCTGCGCACTCCCATCCCCTTGAAATCCTGGGTCAGAGCACAAGAACGAGTGTCTGGCTCTAAAGGGAAGACACAGGGGAAGAGTGTTTCCAGTGGTGTTGGCTGTCACGCCAGTGGTATGTTCTGAGCCCCAGGGCACAGCTGAGGCTGGATGAAGCCCCAAGACTTTCCCACAGTTTGTGTCTGGGTCCAGCTATGCCCATGGGGACTCACGGGTGTCTTGAGGCTGAGACAGTGGCTTCGATGCCTCATGCACTGGTGATGGGTTCCACCCTGGTGTAGCCTTTATTTAAGTTAATAAATAATTTAATGAATGAAAAAAAGAAAATATTTATAGAATATTTTTATTATGGAATGGATATCAGCCCTTAAAAGATTAATATCTGGGTGATACGCGTGTGTCTGTATAGCCCTTAGCAGTTTATAACGTGATTTCCTATAATTACCCAGCAAATGTTCCTGGAGATGACCTGGTGACCCCTAGAACCTGGCTTGCCCAGAACACTCAGCCCCCACCTTCCCCCAGGGTTCCTCCCCTTCAGGCCTCAGGGATGGGGTTACTCCTATCTGTGACGACCTCCTTCCCAAGGCCTCAGGTGACCTGAAGTCCATTCACTCTCATGCACAAAGAACTTGCATACATTCACATGCACTCACATGTTGTCCCCCATCACAGTAAGATAAGCAAGGTAGTCATGAGAGGCATTGGCTTGTTTGACGGGACCCTAAATGGCTGATGTCAGCATTGTTTCCAAAGCAGGCTCGGGCTATGTTGGGGAAGCATTGTTCCTTTCCCCCAGTGGGGGTGTTACTTCAGGGGGGAGACACTAATGCCTGGGCACAGAGCCCTGACACAGGAATGCAAGTTTTAAATGATGTGTTCTCACATTATTAGTTGAATTTTACTTTCCTCTTTTAAACAAATCTGATACCTTCCTCCCCTGTATCAAAATATACCAAGTTAAACAAATATGACTATGCCTTTATGTCCATCTCAAATCAGGCTTTTAGGAGTTCCTGTGTAGGACTCAGGACTAAGGAAATCTCTTAAATGCATTTTAAATGTCACAATTTATGGAATGTGTATAGATGGTTAAACAACCAAATAATCATAGTGAAAATACCCTTATTAAAAGAAGACAAACAACAGAAACTCTTGGTTTAGCTACAAAAGAAAAATAACAGACAATTCAGGATTAATTGGTTCATGCAGCACCTGCCACCTGAGTGCCCATACTTGGTGGGTCCCCAGGACAGTCCCGCCCTCATAGGGTCACTCATGGCAACGAAACAGATGGCCACAGTGCATCTGATGTTGGGGACACCAGTGCCATAGAGGAAGAAGGAGAAGGGTATGGGCTGTGAGAAGGTAGGGGTGAGAGTGTGCACAGGCTAGCCCCAGGTCTGGGGTTGGAGAGCATGGAGCGCATCCTAGGGGCACAGAGAAGATGTTGGAACCCTTAATGGGTTTGGAGTATTAAAAGCATCTGACCTGCATTTTGTTGGAATCTCTTTGGGCCAGTTGTCAGCAAACTCATTAGTCTACAGAGCCAGATATCAACAGTACGACGATTGAAATTTCTTTTGAGATTCAAATTTTTAAAACTTAAACTTCTTCTAACACCACTTCTTCAAAAGAGACTTGCCCAAGCCATGGTATTTTGTAGAAGAGCCACACTCAAGGGGCCAAAGAGCCACATGTGGCTCACAAGCCGCAGTTTGCCGACCAGGGCTCTGGGCTATATAGAGATTAGACTGAAAGGCAAGAACAGAGGAAGCAACCAATGTGGGATGGGAAGAAGGCTCAGGTTGCAGAATATTCTGAAGGTACATGAGCCTGGTCTGTGTAGTGGTCTGGTCCACTTAGCTATAGGTGGAGAGAAGCAGGGGAGCCAGGGGCTTCAGGGTCTGGGCTGATCTGTAGGACCCAAGAGAGAATAACAGGGTCTTAGCTGTGGACTTTGGGTTTGAGATGTCTCCTGAGAAAGAGATGGAAGGATTGGATACAGGGAGCCTTTATCTTTTGTCCCCATGGTTCCCCTACTACAGTCCCCCTATGTGTTTTATTTTCAAACAAGAGTAGATCTTGTCCTGAACTCTGAAGAGCTATCTTGATTTGGCAGATCTTAAGCTGAGAGATTTGCAATAAAGATTGAGGCGTGACAAATTAGGCCTGTGTCTTCATCTCCAACATAGGAACCCATGCAGTCTTCCAGGGGCCGGTAGTCTATTTAGAATCAATGATGCTCAGGCTGGAAGAACTGCCCACTGGCCTTGAAGCAGGCTGTATAGTGTAGGGTCAGAGGGCAATGAGAGACAGCTGACACCAGTGGGGCTGTTCAGTCAGGGAGAGGGAGGAGCCGAGTGGACAGAGAACCCATGGAGGATAGGGACCATGCAGGGTTGTGCCCTGAGTACTCCATGCAGTCCCTAAGACATGGCCACATCCCAAGAGCTGCTTAGCATGGAGTTTCCTGCGTGTCTGAGAAAGGCTTCAAGAGATGCCTCTCCACATGATGTGCCAAAATGAAAAAGTAAAACATCATTCTGCTGGGTTTTAATTTCCTTGTTTTGAGAGAAGCAGGAATTGCATTGCAGTTGAGCAAAAAGCTCACAGAGCTCTTGACCTCCAGCTGCACTGACCCTACCCCTTGGGCCAGCCCCTGGCCCTAGCATGGACTGGGCACTGGGGTGTGATGTGAGCAGCCTTCCACCAGCCTAACCATGTACCCTTGGTGTGCCCAGGTTTGGATGCCAGCCCCCCGGCCAGCACTCACGAGCTCACCATTCCCAATGATGTGAGTATGCCCGAGCCCCCTTGACCTCACTTTATAACCTGCCCGTCTCTTCTCATGTTAAGCAGTTGATGGTCCATAAAAGCCCCAGAGGTACTATATAAGAAAAAAAAACAAATAGGGCACTTCCAGGTTTACATAGAATTTAGATGCCAGAGCTGGCAGGGAAGCCAAGGCCCGCTGACCTCACGTGAAGGCACTGCCCTGCTTCAGGATTGGCCCTTGAAGAATGGTGGCCCAGGACGCTCTGGAGTGGCCCTGTCCCATGCTCCCTCAGTCTCTGGAGGGTTTGGGGTTCTCTGTGAGTCTGCAGGATATGGGGATGTCACAGGTTTGTCTGGATTCCTGGATCTGGCATCCACATGCCTGGACTCTGAAGCAGTGGCCTTTTGAGCTCCTATCAGGCTCAGTCCTCCCACATCATCCTCTGAATCCTTGGATCATATAAGAATGTTGACTTGGATCCCCAACCTAGGATACCAGGGTGGATATGGGGCATGTGTGCTTGAGGGGCAGCTGCCCTGAACAACAAGAGAGGCTGCTATGTGGGGGACTTGGACTTCCTTGCCCTAGGACCACAGCCCTCAGTAACCTTCACTGCTCTGCCCCTCTCACCAGCCGGGCAAGAAATCCTGCCTCTTCCTTCAGTAGATGACCCACAGGAAAGAGATGGGCAGCTGGACGGGAGAGCCCTCCAGAAGAGACCACTCTCGTCAGGGACCCTGTGCAGCTGCAGGACAGACTCCTGCACAGGGTGATGTTTCTGCTTTCAAGGGCTGCAGACATGTCCTCCCACTGTGGCTGGTCCTCGAGCAGCTACTCTGGGCAGCCTACCAAGTCTTTTCACCCACACAATACGTGCAAGTCGCTACTCTGCTGTGGGCTTCCTGCCTTGTAGCCTTTCCTTAAACCACCTTTTCACCAACACCAGGTATCCCGCTCTAATCTGGGTCCTTGATTTAAAACTGAAATGAATCTAACAAGCAAGGAGATACGCTTGTTTGGAGAGCTGACGTGCCTATTTCCTGGGTCCTCTCCCAGTTCATGGCTGCCATCCTCCTGCTAGGGGAGCTCCTCAGAAGGAGGATGCCTTCTGGGCCCAGTGTGCCCTGCAGAGCCCACTCCTTGGCCCTTCCTTGCAAAAGATCTCATGCAGGGGATGTGTAGCCTCAGGACCTCCTGTCATCCTGGAGAGAAAAGAACAACTAGAACGAGTATCTGTTGGGACACTTGCTTATCATCTTGTCAATCTTTGTCTCTTGGTCAAAATTAAATCAGACAAAGGAAAATTGTGCTGACACCTACATGTCACCATGACTTACCTGCAAAAAGGAACACTGAACAATACAATAAATGTGATACCCTAACTGACACACTGGGTCCACAACATGGCCAGCCTGCACTTATGGCCGTGGCGACCCAAGCTAAGTCAGGACTAAGAGCCCTGCAAGGAGCTGCCCCCAGCAACTGGCAACCTTGGGCTCTATCTCTGATGGTCACCACTGTGCCCTCACTGCTGTTGCACAGCTTGCCTCGCTCTTGTCACTGTGCCTGTGGGGACCCCACACTTGAGCTGCTGCTGGGATAGGAAACCTAAGGGCTCACACAGGCAGCTGCAAGAAGTGTGCTAGTGTAGATGTGCTCTCGTGGTTCCTGTAGGGTTTGGCTTGGAAATCTAGATAGGAGGGGACTACATTATCTGAGAGTACCTCTGTCATCTTTCTTTAAATGTACAAGGGAGGCATGAAAGGCTTAGAAGAGAGCTGGTCTCTGGACTGAATGTCCAGGGGGCCTGGGGAACCAGAGAAGTCCAGGGGAGAGCTTATGAGGGCTTTGCACTCCTGTCCAGATTAGAGAGGCCTGTGACTTGTCACATCCCCCTGTAGCTACTTAGAGGAGCCTTATGCTCAGCCAACATCCGTGTTGGGGGCTGTGCTGACAGCTGTGGTTTCTCACTGGCACTCAGACTGCATGGTTTTATCTGGAAGAGAGTTGTTCCATGTCAGGGGTGGGGAACAGCGCAGGGTGTGAAATCTCAGGGAGGGGAAATGCCCTGAGGGCAGGGAAGAAGAGAGGTGTGAGTGTGAATGTTTTTAGTAAGAAAAAAATGGAAGACAAACATGTTTAAGAGAATGTAGGAGGGGGGCACACAGAGGAAATCTACCTTAGATGGCTTTTGTTGGAGCAGAAATAGGCAGGCTGAGCAGGGCTGAGCAGGGCCACTCACACTGAAGTGCAAAGGAAGTGGACTTCCACACATTCCATTTCTAGTGGCCAAGGAAGGTGTGAAGACAGTGGGAGGACATACCAAGTCAGGGTGGGAAGCTCAGGCGGGCCTTCCCGAGTGGAGTGCTGCCACACATTCTTCCTCCAGTGCTGCTGCCCTTCAGCTGTCTTGACTGGCCCTGGTCAGAAAGGAGCCCTCAAGATTTCTCTGCCAGTGGGAGAGTGCCAGGGAAGAGCCAGTCAAGGATTTTAGGCTGGTATCTGTGGAAGTCACTTTCCCTGATCCAGGGCCAGGTACAGAGTAAGGGGTGCAGCCAGTGAGATGTGGGCAGAGCCCAGCAGTGGGTGAGCAGAGCCTGGAGAAATGTGAGTGGATTACAGGGACTTGGGCAGGAGGTGGAGAAAGCTGAATAGCTTGGTGAAATTTGTCTGGACAGTTGGAGAGACAGTGTTAAGGTCTAGTGAGGCAGCTGGTCTAACCTAGGAGAGAAACAGAAATGGCCTTACAGATGAGTTGAACTGAGATGCTGGAAGTCACATCAGGGACAAGAGCTAGTTGAGGTGCACTTATGTCCCCAGTGAGCTGTTGTCATCTCGCAGGTTCAGAGTCACTTCACTCATTTGGAAATGGATTTCCTCCAGCCCTGCACCTGCTGCTGCTGACACAAGAACAGGAAATGCTGACACCACCATCCAGGCTGCTACATGAGAGGTGGATAGGAAACCAACTGCCCAGGCCCCACTTGTCTGATCTTTTCTTTCTCTGCTCATGTTCAGAGCTCTCATCGGCCTCCCCCGTATGAATGAAGGGACTCAGTTCTGCCCATGGACTTGGACTGCCATATACAGCAGGGACCTCAGGCTGCAATCTGGCCCCACATGTGGTGTCCTGTGTCCTAAGGAGGGCCTGGCTCTTGTACCTCTGGCTGTTTCATTCCTGAGGACTGTATACTCCTTCAGAGGCCACTGTATCCATCCTTATACAGAGATTACAGGATGGGAAGGAAAGGGAACAATTGACATGTCCTCAGAATTTCACTCAAGTTTATCAAAAGAGGTTTCAGGCAGCAGAAAGTTTTACTCTGGCTTCAAACAAACATCTCACTGCTCTGAGGACCCAGCCCAGAAGGTATCAACATGGCCCTAGCCTTGGTGCTGGCACTTGGCCTCTGAGCTCCCAAAGGACAATGGGCAAATGGCAACCATGTGACTCTCTGGTCTCCTGATGTGTCAAGATGGCTCACAACCCTCCCATCCCTCCCACAGGAAGACAGTGTTTCTTCCTCCTGGAAGCAAGGAGCTGGTGGTGTGGGGTGGAGACCAAGGCTGGGCCATTCCCACAAGCTTCCCTCAGGGCTCTGCACACTCTGCTCAGGGCTGCCATGGGCTCTTCTCTAAGAAATTCCTCTGTCCTTTTTTCTAGCTAATAGGCTGTATTATTGGACGCCAAGGGACCAAAATCAATGAAATTCGACAGATGTCTGGAGCTCAGATAAAAATTGCCAATGCCACAGAAGGGTCATCAGAACGCCAGATCACCATCACAGGGACCCCAGCCAACATCAGCCTTGCCCAATACCTCATCAATGCCAGGTGAGTGCTGCTCAGTGGCTAGGACACTCAGAGACTGGCTAGCCCTGGGTGTGGAATGTGCCTCCTTCGGGGCTTCTCTTCCCTGCCTAGGCCTAGTCATGGAAGATGCTAGAGTCTCCACACACACATGAGGCCTTTTGCACTTGGCCTTTCACCCTGAAGGGTCTTCAGTGAAGGGCTAGGTGATTAGAGGCAAGAGTATTTTCAGGAAGGCAGTGACTATGCCATCTAGGGCCTAGGGTCAGCCACACACCCAGGTTATTTGAAATTTAGCATAAAGGATGTGTAGTTTCAGAGAAATGTTACTATTAAATCATTCTGCTCTCACATATCATGTGATTTTAAAGACCTCTCAACCCAGACACTTGCAGAGAAGTGCATGAGGGAACTCTGCGAGGGTTCAAAGTTACACGCGATGGAAGGTGAAATCCTCCGGCCTGGCCAGGGCACATGGTAAGGAGCCCAGAGCAGTGACAACTCTCCTGGCCATGCCTGGGCCACTCACCTGACACATTGGAAAACACAGTGTGACCAGACCCAGGGAGATGGGACCTCTCCACCTTGGTCCAGACCCTCCTCCCTACCCCACAATGTTGAAGGGGCTGGAGGGACGCCCAGGAGGACAGGGAAGCAGCCCCTGTGGACATTGTGACTCAGATGTCCCTAGCTGAGTGTTTGCTGTGGAAATGGTTGTGGCGGCCTAAGATTGTCCTGGTGGTTCTCATCGTGCCCCTGATATGATGACAAGCACAGGAGCCCCTGGTGGGTCCTTCTCCCTCTGCTGGCCTTTGGTCTCCAGATCAAGGCTACTGAGCAGAGACCTGAGACTAACTATCCCAACAAGGAGGGAGATAGATGCCAAGGCTGTGAGATGCCACAGGACAATTCATTTCCTGTCTGACCTCATTTTGTGAGAACGCTGTAACCTGTCTCCTTGTGCCTCTCTTCTAGGCTGACGTCTGAGGTCACTGGGATGGGCGCGCTCTAATCCTGCCCAGCATCTTCCACACTGCGAACCCTGGCGTCCATGTGGCTCGCACACTCTGTACAGACAGCCCACCCTGTGTCACAAATACAAATAGAGGTTTTCTTTACTAACAAAATGGTCTATAGAGGTACACATGCCAACAAAGCAAGTCTATATCTACAGCTGTCTGTGAGCTCCAGGCCTGTCCCTGACTGTGCATTCAGTAACTTCTGCTCCAGTCTTCTCACGTGTCCGCATGCAGCGCTTATTATGTTCAGTGCTTGGGGGCATTCCCATCTGTGACATTTTAGAAATATTGCTCCTTAGTGTCAGTGTAACTGTTTTAAGAGTTGGTTTAACATTTTGACAGGACTACCTATTAGTCATCCACTCCTTATCCATCTAGACCTGTGGCTGCCTCTCTCTCACCTGGCCCCACCTGCTGACTTTGTTTCCCCTCGTACCCTTGCTTGTCTTGGTCCACATGTCCATGCAGGTCTTGTGCAGGTCTCATGCTGTACCCTTTCCCTTATTCCAAGGGAAGGAAAAGCAGGTGCCAGGACCTGACCTGAGAAGTGGGATGAAGGAGGTGCTAGGCTCTGACTTCACAGAGATGCTATGTATGGCGAGGCTACATATGGGCCTTGGGCAGCTTCCGGGGTGGTTGGAGGATTTGGACTGGCCAGGAAGCGCCAGTGCACCATGTTGGAGTTCAATAAATGTCGTGGGCTGCCCCCACTGGCTCTGGCTCCTGTATGTGCCCCTCGCTCAGGCCTACCCCCCTTGCGCACACACGTGCTCATGTGCCTGGTCACACACTCATCAGACCTGGCTCTGAGACCACCTGCTGTCTAGAGAAGCTAATTCATTCTCATACAAATTAATACGTTGTCCCTTCTCTCCCAATCCTTTCTTAAATGTTTGGCTTGCACAGGTCTTTCTAGTTTTACTTTTGAAAAACTACTTAAAATGATAATAATGAAAACTCCGTTCTTGCCCTGACTACAAAGTACAATTTCTAACTTGTGGAAACAGCCTCTCTCACTGCCTCCATGGGCGTGGGAGGTCAGGCCGCACATGGTGACCCCAGCCGCTTCCCAGCATGTATATCTCACTCTTTCACAAAACTGTCTGCTTGCTCACCTCAGTGAGCCCATGGCCCCTTCTACACGCTAAAGCCCTGGTTGGGACACAGGCCCCTGGCCAAGGGAGACTCATGGGCAGACAGAGACATCTCTCCCAGAACCCATCAAGCATGCAGTGGCTGGGATGGTCTGTCCCCCACGCCTGCCTCTCAGCAGGAGCCCCCTTTTTGTCTGCCCAAACTCCCACCAGACCCCAGATGCTTGCCTTGTATGCCTAGGCCTCCGGGACATGCTCCCATCACCACCAGGAATTGCCTAGTCAAGGTTAGGAGCATAGCATAGCGGCGCCTGGTCACTGCGCACCGGACAGTTTAAAGTCATGTGATTCACAGGACATGTTGGTTACATACCAGCCACTACTTGGGGCCTGAAAAGTGGCAAGGATGTGGTGGACACAGGTCTTTCTTTGAGCACCGCCATCAGCATGAGGGCAGCGGGTGGCCAGTAGACAAGGTAAGTGCCTTAGAAAGCAATAGATGACTGTGATGAGAAAGACCCAGTGATGCGGAGGGCGTCAGAAGTGCAAGGTTAAATGTGAGGCAAGGTGGGCCTAAGAAGCTGTAGCCCACATGTGCCTGGACTGAGAATAGCAGTCGGAGGGGCACCTGGAGCCAGAGTATTGCACCTGAGCTGGTGCAGGTAACACGAGGACAGGGTACAGGCTCTGAAAGCTGCAGGCACTGCTGAAAGGGGGGCCAGGACAGGGAGCATGAGTTCTGGAGGCATTTTGAAGGAAGAACCAACAGGATTCCTAACATAAGATGAAGACTGTGGGAAAAAAAAAAAAAAAAAAGGGCCTTAGATAGGAGGCTCTCGATCTAATCTCTGGAGAGAGGCTTTGGAAGGTCTGGGACAGGCTGGGGTTGAGATATGCCAGCCCACCATGGAGATGGGAGCTCTGAGGTATGATGGGCCTGTTGGGTGGCAGCAGGAGTCCAGGAGCAATTTGGGGAGGCCTAAGGGGGCTCCATGCAGTACACCCAGCAGGAGGCTGTTCCCAAATGGGATAACCCTGTGCCAGGCAGGTCACCTGCCTCACATGATGTCCAACACCCTGAGGAGCTGGGCCCCCAGACCACAGTGAGGAGGTGTTGTCAGAGCAGGCTCATCCTTGAGAGTCTACAAATAAAACTGCTCTGAACATTCATGTATCAGGCTGTGTGGACATAGAATTCCATTTCTTGTGGGCAGACATGTAGGAGTGAAATGGCTGGTTCATTTGATAGGTGTGTGTTTAACTTTTTAAGAAACTTCTCACCTGTTTTCTACAGTGGTTGTACTATCCTCCAATTCCCCTCACGTGTGGGAGTGCCCATTCCCCTATGTCCTCAGCAACATATGCTAGCTCAGTCTCTAATTCTAGCCATCTCAGTGGGTGTGAATGGCATCTCCTCGTTTTATTTTACATTTCCTGTGACTAATGATGTTAGCCATTTTCTCATGTACTTATTTGCTATCTGTATCTTCTTTGTTGAAGTGTTTGTTCAAATCTTTTGCCAATTTTAAAATTTGGTTTCCTTATTGAGTGTTCTTTATATATTCTGGATATGAGTCCTAAGGTACCTGTTTTGCAAATATTTTATTCCAGGCTGTAGCTTGTCTTTTCATTCTCTTAAGAAGAACAGAAGTTTTTAATTTTGACAAAGTCCCAATTATCAATTTGTTCTTTTATGGGTTTTGCTTTTAGCGTCATATTTTAAAAATCTTTGACTAACCCAAGATCACATAGATTTTCTCATATGTTTTCTTCTAGAAGTTTTGTCATTTTATTCCCCTTCTGAATTGCCTTTGCACCTTTATAAAAAAAAAAAAAATCAGTTCTCCATATATGTGTGGGTTTATTTTAGAACTCTCTTTTTCTATGCTATTGATCTATTTGTCTTTATGCCAGTACCACACTGTCTTAATCACAGTAGCTGTATAAATCTTGAAATCAGGCAACATTGGTTTTTTTCCAAAATTGTTTTAACTATTACTCTAGGTCTTTTTTGTATTTCCATATAAATTTTAGAATCAGCTGGTACTTTCCCACAATAAAAGCCTGCTGGAGTTTGGGTTGAGATGGTATAGACCTATCGATGAATTAAATGATAATTGACAGCTTTAATGATATGAAATCATTTGACACATGAACAGGAATATCTCTTTTTTTTATATCTTAATTTATTTATATCTATTTATATCTTAATTTCTTTCAGCAACATTTGTAGTTTTCAGTATAAATATTGTGTCAGACTTATCCCGAAGTATTTCATATTTTCTATAACTTTAAAATATTTAACTTTAGTTTACAATAGTTCATTGTCAGTATATAGAAATATGATTGGTTTGTGTATATTAATCTTGTATTTTACAACCTGTGCAACTCACTATAATTATGGATTTATCTATTTTTGTTAGGTATGTAGTATAATTGTTTAGTGTTGTTATGTCCTCTACTGACTTCTTGGTTATTATGAAGTTGCCTCCTTTGCCTCTACTAATATTCTTTTCTCTGATATCCACTTTGATATTAACATAGCCACTGTAGATTTCCTTATATTAGTATTAGCATGGTATATGTTTTTCACCCTTTTAATTTTAACCTAGTTGGTTTTTATATTTAAAATTGTCTTTTTAATCCAACCTGATAATCTCTTTCCATTGGACTATTTAGACTATTTACATTCAGTGTGATTACTGATATATGTACATTTAAATCTACCACATAGCTATTTGTCCTACATATTCTTTGTTACCCTTTTCATTTTCTGACTTTGTTTCTGGACTCTCCTAGCATTTTTATGATTTATTAGATTGTTGTTTTATTAGCTAAAACTCTTTATTTTGTTATTTTTGATTTAGGGTTTGTAAACTCACAATCTACCTTCAAGTGATATATCTCTTCATACATCCTATATAATAAAGAGGTAATATGCAAATTGACTATCATGCTCTCACAAGATGGCTGCCTACAATTAGGCTGGCAGGGGGGTTAGTGAGGGACGACCAAATGACTGAACAGCAGGCTGCGTGGGGCGACCAGGCTAGGGTGGGGAGAGGGGAAGGGGGTGCGCAGTTGGAGGCAGCCAGGTCAGCAGAAGGGGCCAGTAAGAGGCGACCAGGCTGGCAGGAGGGTGGACAGTAAGAGACGACCAGGCTGGCAGGGGAGGCAGTCTAGGGGTGACCAGGCCAGCGGGGGGGAGGGCAGTTAGGAGCAACCGGCCAACAGAGAGGGGGCAGTTAGGGGTGAACAGGCTGGTCAGTGGGGGGAGCGGTTAGGGGCCACCAGGCAGGCAGGCAGGTGAGTGATTAGGAGCCAGTGGTCTAGGATTGTGAGAGGGATGTCTGACCGCTGGTTTAGGCCCAATCCCCCTAAACAGCAGTCAGACATCCCCCAAGGGGTCCTGTATTGGAGAGGGTTCAGGCTGGGCTGAGGGCCCCCCATGCATGAATTTTGTGCACTGGGCCTCTAGTATATCTATAAGACCTTCACCTCTCCCCTCATGGCTTTTTATACTGTTGTCTTACATTTTACTTTTACATATATGTTACAAACTCCACGTTACGTTGTTATTTTTATGTAAAAATTCATCTCATATTTTTTTAAAAACTTACATACAAAATAATCTTATATATTTACCCATATAGTTACCATTTTCGGTGCTTTTCACTTCTTTATATAAATCTAGATTTCTGCCTATTATTCTTTTCCTTCTGCCTGAAGAAAATCTTGACCATTTCTTATAGTGCTGCTCTGCTGGTGAGGAATTCTTTTAGGAATATATGTGTGAAAAAATCTTTACTTAACTTTTGCTCTTGAAAGAATTTTTGCTGGGTTTAGAATTCTATTGTGACAGATTTGTTGGGGTTTTGTTTGTTTGTTTAACATTTTAA